TTTGCGTGATATCTGTACATAAGGACAGAATAAAATACTCTTTTCCTTCAAAAAATTATAAAACTGCTTTAAAATGAATTCTGAAGAGAATTTTTCGTGGCATCTGTACGAACGTGTGTACGTACGTACGTTACGTATCTCGCATAACTCAAAAAGGAGTAGCCTCAGAACGTTGAAATTTTGTATAATAGAACTGCTATAACATGTACATGTGCACCTAGTATTTTGGTTTCAATCGGCCGAACCAAAAGTATATAAATATATGTATTCATGTATCCACTCCTGTTACTCGGCTCAGTGATCTCTGCTTCTTTATTCTTATATGTTTGTAAATGGTGTATTTTTTGCTTTAATAATAACTGAATTATGTCGTTCCTATCTTCCGATTAAGGTTTTCATGCCTTTAGTTAATCTGCATGCAATATTTTTATAATTATCCACAATTTAAAAGTTGTTTAAGTGCTGCTAAGCCTAATTACGTTTACCATGGCGGCCATGTTTGTTTGCATTTGAAACGGCGGAATAGTAGATTTGTTGCCAATCTGAAGAAAGTAAGCTTTGCAACAACGAAGATAACGCCTTCATTTATTATTGCGAATTAAATCGTGCTTAATCTAGTCTATATATTATTCGAGGAAATAAATGTTTAAGATTAACGTCGTAATTTTCAATACATATATTTTGAGTTTTCATGTATTTTTGCCTTGTCACGAAGTTAAAACGGAATTAATTGAATGATAAATACTGAATGGTCTGTGAAAAACTGTTCTTTTTTTTTGTTGTTTGCTTAATTTCTTTTTATACTCGTTCTAGCTTTATTATAGTATTTGAATAGAACATGTGGCAACGATTAGATAATCTTTAAATGATACAAATTTTGTGCATTTGAGCTATAATATAAACGAAGATAATACTGTTAGTGAACCTAGCGCCAGAGTTCGCTATGGTAACAAATAGAGTGAATTAAAGAATGCATTTATTCTGTTGTGGTTTATGCGATGTCGGCGAAGTAGATTTAATTCAATCCAATAAGTTTAAATGAAATGCAAGAAAAAAATGCAAAAAATTCCGTACTAGGAAGTCATGTGATGTACACATCAGATTTTTTAATATTCGCTTTATAATTTCTTTAAAAACAATGCATGGCGATAACATTTCGTAGTAACGTTTGAGAAGTGGATATGGAAAAAAAGTGAAGTTTGATACTGATAGCACTTCTAGCGCTTTAAGAAATATACCGTGCAATAAAATCACAATTTTGCAAGCACTGATGTAAGAACACCGAGATGTAGGTGCGTAGAAATGCTGATTACGAAGGTACTTGATACTTAAAGCATCCATCCATTTTGAAGACGAAGCAGTCGAGCTAGATTAAATTCCATATTTATTTAAATTCACATTTGTGGTCACAATTCACTTGGCAGTCCAATCGTGCCTATTTCCAGAACATTTACAATTTTCATACTATGGAGATAGAAGAAATCATAGCAGCACATAGATAAATTGCAGCATCGTCTAGCCAGGATGAAAGCGTAAGCGAAAGTGAAAGTGTCACAGTAGGAAGAAGGGAGGGAGTCAAAAAGTTTTGGTTTACAATTATTTTGATTGGGCAAGCGGTATCTGCATTAAACGTTACAAAGAATCGCATAATTAATTTCAATGACGCAGTTTAGACTTATGCCGCTATTTTTAGGATAGAAAGATGAGGTCCCCAAATTAAATAAAAAATAAAAGAGGTTATAGCCAATTAAATTTAGAAGTTTGCTTTTCTACTTTTTTATCTTACATATATATATATATATATTCGCGAACTACAATTGCAAAATTTGTTCAAAATCATAAAAAGATTCGTAATAATAAAAATGTTTTAAAATCTTTTGTTACAAGATGTTTTAAGAACTGCAATTTGATCTCATATGTAGTTTAATGTCTGGAACAAGTATAATCTAATCTTAACACTTAAATTATTTTAACTCTTAGAATTAAAATAATTATTTTACTAATAATAACCAATAACTTGTAAGGTAATTAACGTATTAGTAATACTAATAATAACTACCTTAAGAATTAATTCCTAGAAATTGAACAAACAGAACATAAAATAATATATTTAAAATGAAAAAATAGCTTGCTCATCAACCGTAAACGGTAGAAATGACGGCAGAAACAGGTATGTTATTATTGCAATATTAAATTACGCAACGTGAAGGCGCAAGTAACTCAATAAAGATATAAATATTCAAGACGTCGGCTGTTTTTTTACTCTATCTAATCGCTTGCATACAAGAAGTGTAATATGTGTTTCTCGCATATTAGGCGGCCAAAAGTTTTTGTTCTTATACAGGACACGAAATTCACAGTTTTAAAATTACGCAAAAAGCAACGTAAGCATAGATTTTGAATAAATTTTTATCGATAACAGGTGTAATTTTTTTTTCTGTTAAAGAAGAGGGATCTGTGTCACCATCTTCAAAAGCGATCTGTTTTATTCAAAATCTACGCCTATCTATGGTAGCACTTTCGCCAAATTTAACATTTTACATTGAAGTTTGCTCCTGAAGGAGAAGGGGCCCACCAGCGGCCGAGCGGTAAAATCGCTGAACACTGGTAGTTCGGTCCGAGGTTCGAATCCCGCGAACGGGCTGGCTGCACGGGCGTTTTCGTGGTTTTCCCCATGTGTAACGTGTATACGAGCCAGTTTCCCTTAGAAAGTCCTCCACGAAGGCATCCCTCCCCTTAGGCAGATAGCCCTAGTGTGCTTTGCCATAACTAAATACACACACACACACCCTGAAGGAGAAGGATCTTCATTCAGATTGAATTCAAATTTAAAGTAAATCTACGATTGCTTTTTTGGCTAATTTTAAACATTATATTGGCTTGTTTGCCTGTTTTCCTCCTCTTAACAATAATGTTTTTTCCAAATAATCTGTATGTATGTACACATGTATGCATCTATATATATGTGTACAAGTGTGTATGGTCCTTGCATTGTAGAAAAACGATAACATCTGGAGCCTCCAAATTTTGCACACACGTAGTCATCCACCCGAATACGGGCACCTCGAAGCAGAAATTTTAAATTTATAATTTTTTAAAATTTATTTTGTACTTTCCTGGAACTTTATGAAATTCTAATTAACAAACTCAGCGACTCAGGGCAACGCTGCTCGAAACATAATATTTTCATCTCCAGCACGTTGATCTGTTGCCATTTGGCAAAATGTAAAATATTTATTTATCTTTCAGTTCTAATCAACAAACTCGGCTATTTAAAAGGAATATGTTTCCACTGCCTGCAATAAAATACTTTTATCGTCCACTCGTCATCATGTTGCCACTTTGTAGAGAGAACGCCAGATATTAACTCCGTCAGATATGATCTTCCTGATATTGATTAACAAATGAAAATAATAAATGCAGTTCATAAGAATATTTTTCCTACTTTTTAATTTGATTGATTTAAATAAAAATGTATCGAAATCATGAGATGTATAATGATAAATATTAAACATGCCTTTTGAAATTACACTAGCTGGACTCTAAAATAATTGCATACAGTAGCCTACATTTGTTTTCGGACACTTGCGTTTTTCAGTTTTATTTTCAAAAATCAATTGCTAAATATTAGCAAACTCACTTTATGTTTCTTTCGGAAACCCTTTTATAACAGTTAAGAGTCTCCATGTGAAATTTGCAAGCCGCAAAATTATTCACTCAAAATCTCACTCAGTCTTTGAATTAAAAATAAATATTTTCTTGATCCATTCAATATTCGTCATTTATACTGCCACATATTTTCTGCTACGATTATATAACACTGATTAACGCCTTTTTTTTCATTAGATTTACTGTGATATAGTAATACGTTACGGAATTTTTAATATCACGAAATATATCTTAACGTATATTTGCTAGAGTTATAAGGCTGTGATCTTCCTAAATTCTGATAATGCTTAAACTTATTGATATAAGCTCTTTAAATGTTGTAACAATGTTTAAAAAGATAAAGAATATCTGAATTATTTTTGCTGCTTGTGCTAAAGAATAATGAACGAATTTTAAACTCCGGTTATATTATGACGAAATACTAAATTACAAAGCGCGCAATTTTCAGGGAAAAATATGCATAAAACACTGAAATGTAATTAACATTAAAGAAGAATAGGATATTTCTCTAACTTATGAGAAAATGAGTACAGGTGAGAATGACAGTTGCGATTCCAAATAAAGTCTGTGTGTGGAAATTTGTAGAATCCTTAAAATTTTTGGAGACAGAATGATCTTAAAATCGCCTTAAATTTTAACCGACTGTCATCCTAACTGTAGTATCTTAAGTTACAATTTTATAGTTACTACATTACTTTTCTTTATTTTTTAACACTATAATATGAAACGGCCAAACCTTTGATTCTAAACTGTTAAATCTTGACATATCAATATTTCGGAAATTTCGTTTTGCAAACCATTGTGAGATACATTATTTAATTCGATATTAAACCACTAAAAACGTTCAACATAACTAATTCAAAATAGAGAAACGTAAAGATAGCTAATCCGATTTCACCGTGAATTCGCTACAGTAAACAACAGCAGTTTTCTAAACAAAACTGAGATGAGGTGTTCTTTCTCTGGCTTTTATAGCTTTTAAAATCGGCCTCACGAGATTGTTCTAGCAATTTCTCGAAATCAAAAAGAGATATATATTTGTTAAATGTTAAATTGCACGCGCTCTTGTATTTTTGATTTTCCAGCTTAGATTTCTCTTAATATTCGTCGCTGCACTGCACGAGGAATAAAACAATTTAATTTATAATTCTACTAATATTAGCTATTTAAATAACCAAATCCGTAACAATATATATAAATGATCTTTTATGATACTTTCATGTCAGAGCTTCTTTTATCTCTGGAATATCTTGGTAAAAAGAAAAAAAGAAGAAAATAATACATATTGAAGTATAAAGCGACATTTAATTAAAAATATTTTCGTATAAAATTCAAAAAATTTAAAATTAAAACTACGATTGAAATTAATATGGCAAAAAATGCTGGTAGAAACATGGGATGGACCATTCAGTTTGGGGTGGGGAGTTGGCGATTCCGAAGATTGCAGATCCAATTACCATCAGCAGAAGCAGTAAATGAATGTAATAACTACCTTGAACCATGAGCTGTATGTTCTTGCACCGAGTTTCTAGTCGTTTAATCATTCTTTTTTGCTTAAATTTTGTTTTGGTCATCGCCTTTCCTTCAACTGAAGCTGCAGAAGAATTAGAGGATTCCTGAAATAAATTATTAAGTAATAAAGGAACAATTTTTAAAAGAATAAGGAAACATTATTAGGGAAATTAGGATTTTGCTTAATGAAATTTGTTGCAATATTTCCAAAAGGAATATATGAAATTGATGTTCTCAGGCAAAAATTAAATGCCAATCCTAACTTATCCTTCAGCATACCTGATACTGAGAGATTTCAGTCTGCATTGAACTACTAGATGATGCAAATAGTACACAAAAGTTTTGTACAAGTAATTATGTACACTGCGAAAAAAAAGGGATGGGGGCAGTTTTATATCTCCTGTTCTACTGGGCCGATTGACGAAATTCAACTTGCGTTTTTTATGTCTCCAAAGCGCTACTTACAGAGTCGTAACTAGGGTTTTCAGCGCCCAAAGACAACTGAAGATTTCGCGCCCCCTACTGCTTGCCAAGGATGGAAAACATTTAATTCTAAAATGTTGTAACATCAGTTTGACGCCCCTTGAATTCTGCCCCCGGGGACAGATGCCCCTCTTACCCCCCTCTAGCTACGCCCCTGGCGACTTATTATATGCATTAGTTTTATATATAGCATTGTTCTAATGTAGGTATTTTGACACAAAATCGGACATTTTCTGATATAACATACCAATTTTTTTTCCATATTTCTATTCTACAACTGAAATTATGCCTAGATAATGAATTTTGTAAAATTTGATGCGAAACTTACGGAAAAATTCAAAAATTTATCTTGGCGCAAACTGAAAAAATTGCTGTGGAAAAAATTGCTTATAATTCACTTGGCGAACTTCTTAATATATGGCAACCAATTTTCCTTTCCCTTTCATTATACCGGAGTGGAAAAAAAAAGCACCTCATTCCTACCCTTTTACATTGTGCATGAGCGGGAAAAAAGTCATATTGTTCCCACTTTCAAATAATTTTAGCTAATGGTCTAAACCACATCTGATGTTTTATCGCTTTCAAGAAATATGCCAAATTTCAAAACGCGCCAATATATTAATTCACGTATATCTTCGAACATTTTGAATAAAAAACCGTAGGTATTTGCAGGTATGCTTAAATACGCCTACTTTAAGATGATGGTAAAAATTTTATAGATTATAATTTAATTTGTTTTGTGAAAAATTTATATAAATATTTAAAAATAATTAAAATATTACAAATTATTGCTTAAACAGACGTATTAAGCTTATATATAAAGGTTTGAGATTTTCTTTGCAGTTCTTGACATTGGATACAGTTTGCCATCAGACTGGTAATGCAAGGACTGAGGAACGCAGCAATAGAGCTGAGTACTCTGTACAAATAAGAGTTGATTTAATATCACTAGCGTTCCAAGGAAGACTGGTCTCTGAAGAATGGAGAAACACACAGTCAGTGCATCGAAAGCGTCGGTTTACAGCGACAAAGTTCTCATTTGTGGAGATATAATTATTAGTCGCTGAACCGAGCTCCTATACTGTAGCTCCTCCTTTCAATCAGTTTCAGTTACTGGAACACCGATTGTACGGAGGCATTTTCTTCCTCAGTGTGTTATTTCCGAGGTCTGAAGAACCTTCATGGTCAACAGCTGTCACGTTTGTTTACTAAAACTCAGCTTCCATGAACGCCCTCTGGTGGAAGAGAGAAAAAGTAGTTAATTGAACGGGTGACGCGTCTAACATTAAGTCGAAAGGATGGACCGTCTCCGTATATATTTGACGCATACTGCTCGTATTGATTGTAGCTTGTAAATATTATATAAATATCTTTCACTTGTTAAAATTTTATAGTAATGTTTCGTTGTGAATAGAATTTAACATAGACTAACGGATATTAAAAGGAAAGTAAGGCAGTTGAGGACAGCCCTTTAGAAGGTAAGTGAAATTTCATTTATCTATTTAGTGATCTAAAATTTTAATAGTAAAAAGTTGATAAAATTTTAACAACAGCACCTATACCCCTATATAACGGCTGTTTCTGAGCTGTCAGAAAGTGAAGATATTCTCCGCATGGATTGGATATCATGGTCTCGTGACCTCAACCCAATCGAAAAGGTGTAGGACATTTTCGAAAGATGCCGGTCTTCTATCGCAAACTACCAGCAGATTCCGAATCTGCGATCGACCTTACAACAGGAAAGGACGATGATACCTCAGAATTTTGTCTACGATCTCCTTCTAAACATGAAAAAGAAAAAACTGCACATTTTCTGTTATGCAAAGGGAGTAATCGTATACCCCACTGAAAGTTACACATTCTCTGTCTGACACTTGCCCCATATGTATTTCTCATTTTAAAATAAAGGTTCTTTATATTCTTTGATTTCTTCCTTGAGCAATGTCGTTCACTTTCTCGATTGTCATACCTCTAGATTATATTATTTTATTATTTCTATCGATATAAAACTTTATGTGACGTCACAAATGAAAATATGATCCGTCCTTAATTTTTTCGGCTAAAGTATATTTTGTTGAACACGGTAATTTAAATGATTACTATGTAGTTTAAATGTAAGGCTTACCTCTGGGTTAAGTTCTTTTCCTTTGATTCCGTTTTCGCCATTTGCTTTTATCGTAGAATAGGCTAGAATTCTTACATTTTTCTCTCCGGACTGGGCATCTTCAGATACAGATTCATTCATGTTTTTATGATTTAATTTTTTCCCTGCGTTTATTTTACGAGTATGTTTATTACATGGTCTGTCCTGTATTGTTTGACATTTGCACTTCCGTAAAGTGTGCTCTTGATCTTTATTTTCTAATCCATCTCTTTTTTGCAATGAATGCTCTTCTACCCAAGGTCTTTTAGCCTCTTTGAAACACTCATATCTATTATTGCAGAGGCAAGTGCAATTACGCCCGTTACATTGCGCATGATATGTCTTTGACTTAAAGCATTTACAGTAATCAATTTCTTTGGAAATTCTAAAGAATGAATTTTCCTGGAATTTATACTTTTCATCGCAACATTTTATTTTAGGGCTAGAGTTTTGAATCTTTGAATGATACTCCACAATTTCAGTCCTGTCTCTGTTTGGGGAAGGAGACACCGTGACTACAATGCCTTCTCGTTTCGGAGATTTTTGCACAACAGTTACAGATACCTGGAAGAAAGTTTTGAATATAAACACATATAAATTGTTGCCTTTGCGTAAATTGTTCTTGCTCATATGCACTCGACTACCGCAGTCATAATTAAAAAGAACTTCCCAACTAAAACAAATTTACATAAACTTTTATTTATGTACCAAATAATTTGACAGGAAAGAAATGAAATCAATGCCATATATATTATTTATAAGGTTTTACAAAAACAGGATTTGGAAGTGGCGTGTGTAATACCATATTTCATGGTTTCTTGTACCGCTAAGAATAACTAAAAATGTTTCGTTCAGAAGTTCATCCACGGTTTAATCCCCATTCAAATAAAATCTTAAGGAAAAGAAAAAGAACGTTTCTGGTGAGAAGAAACATGCTTACTGGTAATCTCAATGAAAAAACGTCACTGAAATTTGTAATTTCTCCAGACAGAACAAAAATTAAGATCTGTTTCTACTAGTCATGTAATATTTTACATTGATAAGCCATTGATAATTAAATCTGTTTTCAAGATTTAATATTCTTATCTTCAGATTTCTTTAAAGCAAAAAAGAAATGATGAATTTAAAATTAATCATATTGTCTCTTAATTTGATTCAGAATCATTTAATGAAAAATTAAATTAGGGTAATGGCAAATTAACAATAATTAGTTTGAATTATTTTGCCTACCATTGAATTAAGCAAACATTTGATGGATATCCTACCCGTTCGGCGTACTGTTAAGACTAAGCAGCAGCAACACTTTTGTAATCTGAAGTCAGTTTCTTTCTGTAATCGAAAGAGCCCACAGGAAATTGCCTGATCAGGAAAGGTTTGGTTTTCTGGAGAATTTTCTAAGGTATTCTTGTATTCATGTTACATACGGTAAAATCTAAAAACTACCTTCGTAACCAGCCCATTTAATAGGATTCAAAACCTATGTGACTATCAGTGTGAATGTATATTCATGTGATTTTTGGTAGGTGATTGAAGAAGTGAGATGAGACAATGTTTGTTAGCTATAGGCATTGGATAGTATTCTATACAGGACGAACTCCCGACCTGGTATAGTTAGCCACTTGCTTTACAGGAATTACGTTCGAACTCTGGAGACCATCCAAGCGGGCGCAGCCCCCGCGATTCTCTCCGAGCGTTATATAAAGCCTAGGAGTAATTAAACTCTCAGACAAAAAAGTGTTCGAAGACAGTTTTGGCTTCCCCGGGCACCACTCCGGGCGTAATAAAAATGTTCAAAAGGGTGATCCGTACCCTGCCAATCCCCCAGGCAGAGGACCGAATGGAGCCGCTCTCAAAGATAGTCAATATCTAACTATGTTGAGACCCCACAGCCAAGGAGTAGACAAGACAATACCACAGTAGATACGATGGTTCTAGTCACTGCGAAGACTGATTATATACTCCCGTGTTCCAAACTGCTTAAGTACAGATCTAGTCAATAGCCTACCAAGAATTCTCCTGAATCGACCCCCTGGGGCAAGTATCCTGTGCACATGAGAAGCCATGTTCTTTCACGCACTCACTCTCAATGGTTTAAAATTCAGACAAATAAATGAAACTCGTTTTGCTTCTAATGCCTAATTAATGTCCATATATTTATTATCAATCGTTAAGATTTCATTCTTTAAAGGTCAAAAAAAGAATAATTAAAATATCACATGCAGGAAAAGATATTTGATACGATTTTCAGTCAGAATGAAAAATGTACATAAAATATACATCTTAATTTGATGTGAAAAGCAAATCTTAAGTTACTATAAACCGCTGATTTGCATTATCGATATTTATAAATAAATTCTGTAAAATCTAGACTTCACTCTTTCATACCAAATTAATTTAAAGAAATTAAACTTTACTGAATTTCAAATACCTGCAATTATATCAGTGTATGCCACTTTAAAAATAATTATTATTTACTGATTTTAATGAGCATATTCTAATATTATAAAATCTTGAAAGTTAATTTACTTGATGGTTCATTCCCAAGTTATTTCCGAAAAAAGTAACTTACCTCTTCATTCTGCCTTTGAGATTCTTTGAGTTTTCTCTTAGTGTCTTCATCAGAAGTGGTAATCCCTTTCCTACACGTATCATGCAGTTCAGGAATTTCATTCCTAAAATATTCTAAAGTCTCCAGTTCTGGATTTCTCTTTATATTTATCACTCGAGTCAAAATATGTGTATCAACATTTGACTTGGGCAGCTTTCGTTCTTTCAATGTGTCCTTTGTAACTGTGACTTTCTTCCTGTTTTGTTCGGTGTACCTACAGTGACAAGTGCAACCCGTGTTTTTTCCGCTATAAATTACAGTCTGAACATCTGAGTTTGTACATAGTGGGCAGTCATCTATTTTGGAGATTTCAAGGTGAAAATGATGGCGATATTTGCAAATTTCTTTCATCTCTTTGCTGCTCACTGTATGAGGCTTAAAGAGAAGCTGGTTGTTTTCGAATAACAATTCTGTGAAAGGATATGTTGTGATAAAGATTTCTTCATGTTGCCTGATAGGATGTTCGGATGCTTTCTGGTATACATTAATAGATATCTGAAATAATATACTGAAATGTAATTTGAGAAGCATAATTTACGATAGATTAAACTGTTAGGTTATAAAGATATACGTTTTATACATAATTCACTGGGTGTTGAGTCTCTCACATACATCGAGAATAAGTCTGGCAACAAATGTAGTAGAAAAATCACATCGCTTGAATGGCAACAGCGAATGATATTCAATACATTTTGTTTTGAATGGGGACAATTCTTCTTGCGATACTATTGCGATTGCGTTTTTTTCCTCACGGACTGGAGGAAGACTCGCGTTTGTTTACTTCGGCGAAGCGCTACGTGTGAAAGTACGCTGTTTCTTCCTGTATTGGGGTGATTAGTTTGCGTTTTAAGTAAAGTTAAATACAGATTATTTTGTTCTCCTGGTTTGGTGTTTACAGAGAAGCATACAAGTAGGAGAATTTTCCATTTTATTTTGCGCTTAGACGCAAATTGTAATGAAGAAGGATGGAGTGAACGGGTCAAGCCCGGACTTTCAGTATAAACCGCCCATATCGTTAGAACGTCTATTAAAAATTTGTCATGAGAAAGGCGTAAGAAATTTACGCAGTCTTTCTGAAAGGTATAGAGAAAAATATTAACGTAAACAATCCTAAAATTTTAATAGATGAAATATCCAGCAAAGTGGGGTTAGTTAAAAATACTGACTTCATTAAAATCATAAGGGATGGATACCTCAGTGGCTGAATGCTCGTGGCAAATATTAAACATAACTGAATTGCATAACGTAAAGGTTTTCCCGATGCTTGCCATGACTGAACTGACAAGCAAATTTCTTCTATCGGCCATTCCAGTAGAAGTCGAGCTCTCGGAGCTAACTAATGAACTGAATCATAATAACGATATTGAAATATTAAATTTAAGAAGATTTATAATCGAAAGCTCAGACACTAATAAGAAACCCTCGGAAAGAGTACTTGTAACTATTGAAGGACACCACTTGCCAGAACATGAAAAAGTAGGCTGGCAAGACATAGGATTACAAGGTTCTATGATAATCCAAGGCAATGTCCTCAATGTCTGAGGTTTGGTCACGGGATTAAAAGCTGTAGAGAATTAGTAAGACGTAGCAATATAGTGAAAATCATACCAGGGCACAGTGCCAGAGTGTGCAGATCAAGTGCGCGTTATGCAGTAACTCACATGAAGGCACCCTCGAAGAATTGCCCCAAATACATCGAAGAGGGCAATATTCTCAAATATAGTGCTGACCATCATGTTCCCGTAGTAGAAGAAAGGCAGGCTGTAGCAAATAAAAATTCTTATGCGAAGGTGGCAGGAACTCAAGTGTCAAGTCCTGCAAAGGAAGATTTCCTGTCTGGCCAAGATTAGAAACTGTGATTTTATTCATAAAATAAGGTTTTTTTTTTGTTTTTTTTTTGTTTTTGTTTTTGTTTTTCCCCTCTGCTTCCATCTTTGCTTCCTTTTCTCATCTAGTTCAATGAGACCAACATTTTCTTCATGGAATGCAAGAAGCATCTCTAATAAAAGAAACTTTATCATTAGCAGGAAAGAATTTTCCTGTGATGTTTTAATGATCCAGGAGACCTGGTTTTCTTTTAATGATCCAGGAGACCCTGGGATTGCAGGGATTTTTGCTTACCTGACAAAGTTATTTTTCGCAAAGATAAATTAAGCTCTTACCAAGGCGGGGGGCTAATGATTGCCATGAAAAAACAATAGACAAGCTTATCTGTACAAGATAGTAGTTATGATATAACGAGAGGAGAAATTATGAGAGTTGATCTTTGAGCAAATACTTCCGATATTTCAGTGATCAACGTCTACCTTCCTAATAACCAGTTCAGCGTGAAAGAGTGGGATAAAAGTTCTGGCTACATTGCCCAGCAAGTTTATTATCTTAGGAGACTTCAACTGTCACAACCTGGCTTAGGGGGTCAAGCAGGCTGTCAGCAGGGGGTAGAGTGCTTTTGGAGTGGTGTAACAACAACAACCGAGCTTTATTGTCAATTGAACTGGGAACTTTCTCCCGATCCCTTTAGCAGTGACCACTACCCTATAAAAATTAGGTTCACAAGTGATAGCAAAACCTCAGCTGCTGGCAATCAGAGAATGCTCACTGTGACTCGAAGAAGTTCGCTACAGAAAGCAGTAACAGAATCAGGGCTTTGCATCCAGGAGAAAGAAACCTGGAAAATGTCAACCGCATCTTGAGCGCCCCGAAAAAAGAGAACCTCACAAAATTACGAAACAGTCCGGGTGGGACACAGAATGTAACTTCATTCTAGGCCAGAAAAGGAAATGCCTTAGACTCGCTAAAGCACATCTTTCAAGAGGTTACTGGATCTATTACAAAAAATGGAACGCTTACCTTAAGA